AATATTACATTATAGTTAAGCCATATGTTTACTGGTTTTTTCCCCAATTATGTAATTAAGGCTTAATATGTAAGCTTTGAAGACTTCAGGCATTCATATCATTTAGGACTTGCAATGGATGCGATTTTTTCTGCCTGCCTAGAATATAGACCTAAAAAAGCACGATAACTTAGTCTGTCATCAAAGCAATCAAATTATATAAATTTAATTTAAAGCAATTTGCTTGCATTATTGCATTAGGTAAATTGCACCCGTCTTAGTGGTTGCACTTTTCAATAAAATTATTTGGATACGAAAAAACAGTTTTGTTTAAGTAACCAGTATTGCTTTAGTAACCAGTATTGTTTAAATAAACCAGCATGTTTGTTACGTAACCAGTATTGTTTAAATAAACCAGTATTGTTGTTACAGTAACCAGTATTGCTTTTAGTAACCAGTTTTGTTTAAATAAACCAGTATTGTTATTACAGTAACCAGTACTGCTTTCAGTAACCAGTATTGTTTAAGTAAACCAGTATTGTTGTTACAGTAACCAATATTATTTTACTAACCAGTATTGTTTTAATAAACCAGTATTGTTATTACAGTAACCAGTATTGTTTAAATAAACCAGTATTGTTATTACAGTAACCAGTATTGTTTAAATAAACCAGTATTGTTATTACAGTAACCAGTATTGTTTAAACAAGATATGTTTGTAAAACATGTATGCCCCCTATCAGCAGCCAATTAGTCATGTGAAAAGGTTATTTTGCATGACTTCTGACCCAGTGATCAAACAATTAATAAGGGTTATCAAGTATCTACTGGTCATGACCTTAACCTTTGACCCCTTAACCCCAAAATCAATAGGGGTCATCTGCTGGTCATGACCATTCACCATACCAAGTTTGAAGTTCCTAGGCCTAAGGGTTCTTTCGTTATTGATCGGAAATCGTTTTTAAACCTACAAGGTCAATGTGACCTTGACCTTTGACCCCTTGACCCCAAAATCAATAGGGGTCATCTGCTGGTCATGACCAATCACCATACCAAGTTTGAAGTTCCTAGGCCTAAGGGTTCTTTTGTTAATGATCAGAACCGTTTTTACCCAAGAGGTCAATGTGACCTTGACCTTTGACCCCTTGACCCCAAAATCAATAGGGGTCATCTACTGATCATGACCAATCACCATTACCAAGTTTGAAGTTCCTAGGCCTTAAAGTTCTTTAGTTATTGATCAGAAACCGTTATTGCTTACAAGGTCAATGTGACCTTGACCTTTGACCCCTTGACCCCAAAATCAATAGGGGTCATCTACTGATCATGACCAATCACCATACCAAGTTTGAAGTTCCTAGGCCTTAAAGTTCTTTAGTTATTGATTGGAAACCGTTTTTGCTTACAAGGTCAATTTGACCTTGACCTTTGACCCCTTGATCCCAAAATCAATAGGGATCATCTACTGATCATGACCAATCACCATACCTAGTTTAAAGTTCCTAGGCCTTAAGGTTCTTTAGTTATTGATCGGAAACCGTTTTTGCTTACAAGGTCAATGTGACCTTGACCTTTGACCCCAAAATCAATAGGGGTTATCTACTGGTCATGACCAATCACCTTACCAAGTTTGAAGTTCCTAGGCCTTAAGGTTCTTTAGTTATTGATCGGAAACCGTTTTTGCTTACAAGGTCAATGTGACCTTGACCTTTGACCCCTTGACCCCAAAATCAATAGGGGTCATCTACTGGTCATGACCAATCACCATACCAAGTTTGAAGTTCCTAGGCCTAAGGGTTCTTTAGTTATCACTCGGAAACCATTTGGTCTACGGACCGACGGACCGACAAGTGCAAAGCAATATACCCCCTTTTCTTTCGAAATGGGGGCATAATAAACCAGTATTGTTATTACAGTAACCAGTATTGTTTAAATAAACCAGTATTGTTATTACAGTAACCAGTATTGTTTAAATAAACCAGTATTGTTGTTACAGTAACCAGTTTTATTTTAGTGACCAGTATTGTTTAAATAAACCAGTATTGTTGTTACAGCAACCAGTTTTATTTTAGTGACCAGTATTGTTTAAATAAACCAGTATTGTTGTTACAGCAACAAGTTTTATTTTAGTAACCAGTATTGTTTAAATAAACCAGTATTGTTATTACAGTAACCAGTATTATTATAGTAACAAGTTGTATCACTTTGTTAACCAGTTTTGTTATTGTAGTATTTATTGTTATTATTACAGTAACCAGTATTGTTATTACAGTAACCAGTATTGTTACAACAGTCAGTATTATAATCAAAGTAACCAGTTTTGTTATTAAAGCCACCAATGGCAAAGACCAATTACTTGTTGTTGTTGTTTTTCTTAACATAATTATAAAGATTCATTATGGAAAGGCAAAGAGAAGTTTTCAAACATATAGAAAGTATCTGCTTTTTATTTCATACAAAAATATAACTTATCAATAACATAATGAAACTAAACTAAATTTACTTATTTATCTTTAACAAAACTCTTAGAATAAAAGTAAACAACCAGAAAAGACAGAGACAACAATATTGTTTAATTATCAACATTTAAACAAGATATTCATTTGGAAATATGTCAATTTCAATCTTAGAATGGTCGAAATTTGTTTCATCCATTCTTGTAACAAAAAATATTGGTGAAAGTGTAAATCTGAAATAATATCTTTTCCTTAGCACACGCAATTGTTCCAAAACAATAAAATAATGTTTATACAGTATATATTCACCCTTAACATTCTTTCTTTGCTTCTTTGCTTTGGAATTATCCTTCTTCTAATATGGAAAATATTATTTACATTTTGGAATATTTTCAAAAAGAAATTTTTTAATAACACAACCTTCATTTTGGAAATTATCAAATATATTGTATATATTTTGGAATTATGAAGCCATATAAATCAAGTATTATCCAGAACTTAATTTCGAAATATCTTGTCTGGGAATATTTAAGTAAAAATAAGTTAAACATTTTCTCATAATTCCTTTCAATTTTAATATTTACTTCACATGAATGATAATTAATTCACTAGGCCTTGTGAAATGTGTGTAATTATCCGTCGGAATGTATCAGAAACTTTCAATCTATAAACAGAGTTGGGCAGTCTTTTTATATATTTAGGAAGATTTATTTTTTACCCTTAACATTTTCAAATATCATGTGTTAGTCAATCACCATCATAACGACCACATTATTGAAATATATAGTCAATAAAAGTCAATTTGACAATGAAAAAATGAGCATAATGTCACTTTAAATTGAGCAGAAAATAAAAAACATAGTTTCAGTGCTGAATTCACAGCTACAATGTATGTAAACTGACTGGGTATTATACCGACTGATAATATAGGCATATAATTAACATGTGTAGCATTCAGAGAATCAGATCGGTTTAATATAGAAATATACTGATTATCTATTAGATATAAATCATCAAAAATAAACAATGCAAATAATAACAATGTACATGTAGCACTTACTAACTAACTTGAAAGAAAATATTTGTTCACAAAATTAATCTATGGCACATTGTAACTACAGATCGAATAAGATTATTGTAGTTAAGTTTATGGCCACATGGTAAACATTTGAAGAAAAAAAACATAATCATGTTTCAAGTGCATAAATGAGATCAGCAAATTATCAAATCATGATTATTCCAAACAAAAGGAAAAGAAAAATCATTACATTATGGCAAAATATTGATAAAGAAATGTTTTGTTTTTTTTATATATGAAATAGTGAGTATTAAATCACAAGTAGCATTTTATTGTTTTCATAACTGATTAATAACTTTGGACTACTTTTTTCTAAATAAAGGGAATAAAGTGACCAAAGATGAAATATAAGCGGATTTTTTCTTTATATTAAATCTAGGATATTAAAAATGCATTTATGTTAAAGGGCAGTTTAACCCTAGCCAACATAACCTGTTATGTAACTATGATATTGAACATTGTGTATTAAGGAAAACAATTCCAAGTATAAATGACTTGACCAAACATGAGACTTTGTAAACCTATGTTTGTTTTTTGAGACAGCTCCTCTTTGTACACCTTCCATATCAAATCACTATAACTGTACACTAATTGCCAAAATACAAAAGAAGCAAAAGATAGCTCAGCTTCATGGCTAATGTGTATCTTTTTGAAAACACACAAATTAAAAGCTTTGAAAGAAAAAATAAAATTTTTGAGGCTTAATGGGTCTTTAAATTTTATATCCAAAAAACTTTCAGTTTTAATGATTAACCAGGTCAAACATGAAGACAAAAATATCAAAAATAAAATGAACACATGTAAAATAACAACCTCTGGGTAATCTCATTAATAAACATACAAATAACCAAAGTTTAATACAATAAACTACCACTATTATTACAAACGAGTATTATTAAAACTATTACTATTATTACAAACGAGTATTCTTTTAACAACAACAAAAAATCTTGTACAAAAAAGTTATGGTGATTTGTAAATGTTGAGATCATTAAACAATATATTCATGAACACAATCTGGATTTTAAAGTCAAGTAAAATAGATTAAATTTCATAAAGTCTTCATATTATGCTTGCCTACACACGAGTAACAAAAACCTTCATTAAGATCAAATAAAAAAGCTTTTACTCTTATCGTTATAAATTTCAATAAAAAATGTACAAATTTCAACAATGAAACTTGAAACATAACATGCAGAATGTCACAGACTTTAAAACCTCCTCATATTTAGACAAGACAGTTAATTTCAGATAAGATAAAAAAAGAGTCTTTGAGACTTAAATGGCTCCATTAGTACACATGACAAGATGTTTACTTGTTAGTTACAGCAATTCCTAAGTTGGCATAAGTTTTTATTTATTTATTTATTATTTTTTTTTTGGGGGGGGGGGGGGGGGCGGTGGGGTTGGGTTATGTCACGCTGGTACTATAAAATATTTGAATGGTGACATTCCAAATTTACCGGTGGCGGAAGACCCCAGGTGCATTATTTCAGACACAAACGAGCACCTGAGTAGAACCACCGAAGTTCTGTAATCTATCTGGATAACTTTCTCAAATGAAAGAATAAAAAGTTCCTGGCAGGATTTGAACACACAGCCCTGACAGTCAATTGGTTAGAAGTCATTGATTTTATCCACTTGGCAGCCCCAAGACTGCCTACAAAATTGCACACATCTGGATTAAGACTGCTTTATGGCACTCATTCTATATGTGACATAAGTATAAAATAAATCATTTTTGAAAAATGATAACTGTTCAAATGTTCCCCTTTATTATGAAGAGATCACATTGAAAGAGACAAAAATTTGGTCCAACAAATTAAACCACGTATATGACAAACAGACAAATATGTTTTTCAGCAGTTTCAAAACACATGTTAATGTTGAAAAAAAAATATCTGCATGGAATATTTGATTGACAAATACATGTATATTAAACAATGTTTATATATAAGAGACATCAAAATGAAATATGTTCATTTGAAACAAACACATTATTTACAGAAATAATCATTTGATGCTATGAATAAAGTTATTGCAAATCATATGAAATATAAATTATGGAAATACAACCATTTAGCACCTAACCAAAAAGTCAATTTGTCATATTTAAACTACATTTAGCATTAGGCCAACAACTTTCGTTAGTTTGTACAGAATTAATTCTGCCACGTCAACAAATTCATTTAAAAAATAAAATTATTCTTGTCCTAACAAATTGAAACTGTTGGCTTACTTTTGACTAAAGCATGTCTTATTTTCAATCTCTACAAGAGAAACTAGGATAACAAAATAAGCATCAATAATATCATAAAATTAGCACATTTTTCACACAGTACTGTCACATGCTAACATACAATCAGTAGCACCATTCAATACGGCCATCAGGTTTGAGTTTAACTTGCTCACTGGCCACCATTTCCAGTGCTTTAGGGTAGGCTTTGTGCTCCTTCTGCTTGATACGCTCACTCAATGTGTCCTCTGTGTCGTCGTGGTAAACCGGCACAGACTCCTGCACCAGGATCGCACCTGCATCCACTTCTTCCTGGTAACAGGGATTAAATAATGAAAATCACAATTTAATTTATTACAAAACTGGTTCATTATACAAATATAGAATGTTTGTTTGATTGGGGTTTACGTCACACCAACACAGTATAGATCATATGGCGACGTTCCAGCTTTACTTGTGGAGGAAGACCTCAGGTGTCCTTCTGTGCATTATTTCAGGCACTAACAGGCACATGAGTAGAACCACTGGCATAAATTTTGATAGTGAATTTTTGTTAACTGACAATGGACAAAAAACTTTTACCAGAATTAAGAATATTGTGGGTTTTCCTAGCTAATTCTATGTTAAGAAAACAAAATTTTTAGTCACAACTTCAAAAATAAATGCAAGAAGTTTGACTAATCTATTTTGAGTGGCAGTGAACTGTGAAGTTTTTATGGTAATTTTGTTTATACCAAGGAAATAGTTAGGCAAAAAAAAAACCCACATTTGCACAGTTCCAGGAAACACTCATTTCAGACTTACTTTATTTAATTTGCTTTTAAGTGACACTGACAAATTTAAGGAAAATTCTCAAAAAGAAGACATCCTAAATTCAAATAAGAGCAAATGTATTTCATGAAATTAGCAGCAGTGTAACATGAAAGAAATACTTGATTAATTTAAAGGTACACTTACAGCTACAAAATGAACAGAGCAGCCAGAAATTCGAACACCAGACTTCAACACTTGCCAATGAGCATCATGGCCTTTAAAGGACGGCAGCAAAGATGGGTGTACATTTAGCATTTTACCTGACCATTTCTTCACAAAACCACCTGTAAATATAATGTGTATAAATGTGATAAAAATTCATTTACCCTGGGGAATAGTCCTTAAAAGTCCCCAGAATGTGAACAAGTTTTTTTTACAAGTTTTTTTTTATTATTATCATTGAATATCATTAAATCATAATGTGTATAAATACGATAAACTGTAATAAGTTAAAAAACCTATGAAAACATTCCTTTAATGTCCCCAGAATGTGAATTTAAAAAAAAAAAAAAAAATATATATAAATTATATATAAAGTAGGAATAGATCATTATGTCAACTTAGCGCAGTAAGGGGTTAAATCTTTATGTAATATTTATAAGAGTTAACCTATTACTGCACTGAGGTGATGATTAAATTGCTGGAATATCAGAACAAAACAAGAGTAATATCACAATTCTTATCATCACCAGAGAATAATTTCAAACTTATGCTCATTTAAGGCCTAAAACTGTTTTTAATCATTTTTAATTTATTATTTTTGGTGTCCTGTTTCAGTTTCAAAAATGTTATACATTGGCTGTTTTGTTTGGCCATCTTTTGCATTTTAGCAATACATACATTTATAGTGATTTACTAGTTTTGTTGAGAAGTAAAAATACCTCTTGGTTTAAAATTTGCTACCTTTATCAAAAAATTCTTTCATATTTATTCAGTTCCTATTTCTTCATGTGACGACATGTTCTAAATCCATTACTACAACATTAACAAAACAAACTTGTTTGCCATTTATACAGAAAGAACAATTTAATATAAATTTCAAATTTCGGAGGGATAATGATAACCTTTAAAATAGTGTTTTTCCCCGGTCTTCATTTTAAAGCCAAATAAAGGCTGTTTTCCCTAGCCCAAACATAGGTATATTTTCCCCTGAAATGCCATAGTACCTACATTCTACACAAGAACCACAACCTAAAAGCAGCTGGCTTCTGCTAGTTCATAAATTTTATTGATTAAATTAAACAGTCAGAAAGCCGTCCCTATACATGTGGATGGCCTCTGCTATGTACCATGCATGTTACATTGAATTTAAATTGAAAACTTTATCAAATCAATAGGTAAATTCCACGCTCTGTTGTTGAAATTTCATTTCAGGTTTTCCCCCTTTTCTGATTTATCGTGCTATATTTTTCCCCTATCAGAAAGCCAGTTTGTTTCAGGAATGGAAAAAAAATCACTGACAAAAGTTTATTATACAAATTCTGTGTGGTAATGGTATGCAAATAACGGCATGAAATTGTCTGTACATAATAGCCGCAACAGAACATGTGTTTTAGTTTTATAACATGATGTATACAAGTCTGGCAATGTTACAACACTCTATAACAAGAGCTGTCCGTAAGACAGCGCGCTCGACTTTTTTATTGCTTGCCAATAAAAAAAGTTTTTGCAGTAAAAGGCAATACAAGAATCTCTGTATTTTTAAAGTGAACAATGGCCATGAGCATTAAGATATTTAGTGAAGAATTATTTTACTGAATTGTGTAACTTGTCCACCAATCAAATAGGCGAGATAAAATGTGAAATATGCATATACTACTGATTTTAATTTCAAGTACAAAAAGAGAAAAATAACTAGTTGTTTGATACCCTTGAATATTACAGCAATGTTTATATGACATAATTTATGGTAAAAGTGAACAAGTGGATAGGAATGAATTTTTTTTAGATTTTTTAAGTTTTTTAGTGCTTGCCTATAATACAAAACATTGACAGTTAAGGGCCATAATTCAAATAAAATCTTTGACAGAATTACCTTCTCCTGGACATGTTTGGGAATCATGATTGTAAACAAGTATTCCAACTTTCAAATTAATATCTCAAACAGTTCAGTCAAAAAGTGGACTGGTACTAAAAACTTAACCAAGATTCTAAGTCGATAAAAGGCCTTAATTTTTAAAACAAATCCTTGACAGAGTTACCTTCTCTTGCGTACAGATGGGGGTAATGATGTGAAAATAGCATTAAAAGTTTCAAAGCAATATCTCAAAGGGTTAAGGCAATAAGTGGATTTTACCCATATTCAATGTATTTTCTAAGTCAAAAAGGGGCATAATTCTGTCAAAAAACCTTGACAGAGTTATGTCCTCTTGTCTGTTGATGAAGGTCGTGATGGTAAACAAGTATGGTCAGTTTCAAAGCAATACCTCCAATGGTTTTGAAATAAAGTGAGGTGGTACAAAAAACTTAACCAAGCTCAATACACTTTCTAAGTCAAAAAAGGGCCATAATTCTGTCAAAAACCTTGACAGAGTTATGTACTCTTGTCTGTAGATGGAGGTTATGATGGTGAACAAGTATGGTAAGTTTCAAAGCCATACTTGTAATACTTCTGAAATAAAGTGGGGTGGTACGAAAAACTTAACCAAGGTGTGACGCCAACGCCGACGCCGACGCCGGGGCGAGTAGGATAGCTCCCCTTTTCATAGAAAAGTCGAGCTAAAAAGGAACTGTCTGACTTCATGAATACTAAAACCACCACTGATATAAAGCAGAGTTACATCAGATATATCGGAAGAAATTTATTACATGATCTCATGAATATTCATAGAAAATAAAAAACTGAAACACTTATCTGCTGAAATCAGTGAGAAAAAAATGTTTATGTCCTGACCATATAAATTTCTTATTGGGGAGTATTGAAGGAACTCAACCGAGGTTAAAAAAACCTTGAAACAAAAATTTTGAATTTCTTACACAGTTCAGCTGGGGAACTTAAAACAGAAAGAATTGATATGCAAAAGATATAAAAGAAAATATACAAAGAAATATATTGAAAATCAGATTTTTGTGATATTCTAAGCCCGATTTAAGTAAAAAGAGCTGCTATGCTTTTCACTCAAAGAATTTTTTTTCTGGAAAATGGAGGGGGCTTTTCATCTGAAATTTCGCATATAATTGTTTGGTCTAGACATCAAATGGAACATTAATCTCAAAAAAAAAAAATTCCAGCCCCATCATGTCAAAAAAACTCAGTGGAGTCCCTTTAAGATTTCAAAGCAACATTTTATCTTCCAGAAAATCCAGCTTCTTAAGAAATATGATCCAGCCTTTTAAATACGGTACACATACATAAAGCAATGGGTTATTAACAATTAACACAAAAAACATGATTTTAAAACAGTTTTTCTCCAAGTACCCTCTGTATACTAGTGGGGACAATAGCAACATGTACACTCGACACTGTTACCTACTTAATTTTAAAATATTAATACTAAAATCCCATGAAATGATAATGTTCAGTTCCTCTCTCAATGCCAAGATAAAGATGTACTATGCTCATCCTTGAGTAAAATATTTTAATCGCAGAAATTTATTGAAATCTATGAAATTCTTACTGAATTCTTTTATTTCGAATAAAAGAATGAATAAACTATGTATGGGAAGCTGTTTTCCTAATAACTAGTCAAGTTAAGTTTGTCCATTCTTTTTTAATGACACTATATATTCATATTGTGACCACCTATACTGTGTAGAAGCTTAAACATAACATATCTACTTTCTGTTAAGTCAAAACATTTTATGAGAAAATGTTTCAAAATTTCTAATTACCAAGGAGTATTTATGAGAAAATGTGTCAAAATATCTATTTACCAAGGAGTATTTATGAGAGAATGTTTCTAATTGAAAATATCTTATTTACAAGAGAATATTTTTAAACATATAATTACCAGAGAGTATCCGCATGAAGCCAGCTAGACATATTATCTCTACTCCAGCAGCTATCAGACTATGATGTAAAGCCTCATCAAAATCTTCTCTACTTCCATAATTCTTATGACTGATCACCTGTTTTAATATGAACATTTATTATATCATTTATTTTGTGAATTGTTAATGTGGTTGGATGGGGGTGGGCGAGTACGATTGAGTGGTTTGGTTCATTGACTTCAAACCACTTGTCCCTCACTGCTGTGGGTTCAAATCCGGAATAGGAATTTGAATTTTTTCATATGAGGACGCTATTCAGCTAGCCTACGGGAACGCTGGTAGTTCTACTGATGTGCTATGGCCTATGGGTGTTATTCTTAACTTGTAACAGAAATTTTCTCAGCTAAAACATTGAAAACTAAGTTCGGTAAGCATGTTGACCACCTTGTTTAATGGCATAAAAGACTGCAAAGTAACAACAGAGTTTTTAACTTATTATAACTTATTAAAAGATGTAAAAAATAAGATAACTTCTGACAATAACTTTCAATTTCCTTTTCAAAAACTGTTATCATTTTATTCAAAAGAAAACATAACTGGAAGATAGGACAATCAAATGCATGCATATTTAACAGCTTTCTCTAAACATAATCTTTGCGCACACTTAGATGTATTCAGATATGTTATCATTTACAAACCTTTGTAGCAATGCCAGCTTTTTCTGCTCTGTTAAGACCTTGAGCATCTGGTTTGTTAGAGATAACAAGAACTATTTCCGCTGCACTGAAGTTAGAGGGATCTCGAGTGAAGTCAATCAATGCCTGCAGATTAGTACCTACAAAACAGAGAGCCCTTATGTTTATAACAAAACATAATCAATCCTAATAATGGTAATAGCAACTGGAAAGAAACTGCCATGAGACATGTTTTTGTTTGGTTTTTATGGCACATCAACACATTTTAAGTCATATGGCACCGAAACAGGAGAGTGGATTTTGGTTAAAACCACCTCATATGCAGGAGCTAAGAGATGTAAAGACTCAAGTAATTCAAACTCATTTAGTGGCCTTTTACAATCATGCAGGGATAAACAATGGCTGCAATTCTGATTCCTCAACCCTTAAAGACAATGCCTCAGCCACAAGGGAGATATATGCTCTCAGTAAGAGTCAAACTGCCAATAAAACACTTGTTTTACAAAGCAGTCGCTGGAAATACTTCCCTCATGAAAACTGTACATAGTCCTAGCAACCATTAATTTGACAGTGAAAAAATCTCTGTCTTGCAAAGACTGACAGCCAGTCAATGTAAATTAATCATGCACCTGAAATGTCTCAGTTAAGTTGGATTCAGAGGTGATAAAACCAGTATACAAGACAAATACAGACAGTAAGTAAAAGTACATGCTATATTAGTAAACTAACCATATATCTTAAGACTGGAAAACAGATTGATAACATCACTGACAGTCATAAAATCATCTTAGCTAAATCTCCAGGTTTAATAACTTTCAAGCTCTTTCTCTAATAGTTATATATCACAAAATTTCATTTTTCTTATCTTGAGATAGGTTGCTTGAGTTATTGGCCTTGGATAGGAACTTATCTTTATGATCTTAAAAACACAACTGTGTGAATTTACAAGCAAACAAATTATCTCGGGCAGTTAGTATAATCTTGTACTTGAAATTGTAGGTAATACTTTAACACCTGGTTGAGGAGTAGATGTTTTAAACAAGAGGGCCATGATGGCCCTGAGGTCGCTCACCTGTATATAGCCCCCCCCCCAACCCCCACCCCCCCAACGTTGCAGAGCCAATTTAACCCAAGGGCTTTTATTTGCACAAACTTGGTAGACACCCATAAGAAGATGTTTCATGCTAAACATTTAAGCTCTAGCTCATTGGGCTTTTTAAAAGAAGATTTTTTTGTTAAGTTTTTACTATACACATATAGTTAAAAACAATGACACCCCTGGGGCTGGGCCAGTTTTGACCCCAGGGCTTTTATTTGAACAAACTTTCTAGACACTTACTAGAAGATTTTTCATGCTTAATATCTAAACTCTAGCTATTTGGGTTTTTTCAAAGAAGATTCAAAGTTTTTGCTAAACACATATAAAGAAAATCAATGACCCCCGGGGCGGGGCCAATTTTGACCCCTGGGCTTGTATTTGAACAAACTTGGTAGACACCTATTAGAACATGTTTGATGCTCAGTATCTTAGCCATAGCTCTTTGAGTTCTTTAAAAGAAGATTTTTTAAGTTTTTACTATATGCATATAGGAAAAAAAAATCAATGACCCCCCCGGGGTGGGGCCAATTTTCACCCCAGGGCTTTTATTTGAACAAACTTGGTAGACACCTATTAGAACATGTTTCATGCTAAATATCTTAGCTCTAGCTCTTTGGCTTCTTTAAAAAAGATTTTTTAAGTTTTTACTAAATGCATATAGGGAAAATCAATGACCCCCCCCTGGGCGGGGCCAATTTTGACCCCAGGGCTTTTATTTGAACAAACTTGGTAGACACACACTAGAAGATGTTTCATGCCAAATATCTAAGCTCTAGCTCTTTGAGTTCTTTAAAAGAAGAATTTTAAGTTTTTACTATATGCAAATAGGGAAAATCAATGACCCCCTGGGGCGGGGCCAATTTTCACCCCAGGGCTTTTATTTGGACAAACTTGGTAGACACCCATTAGAACATGTTTCATGCTAAATATCTTAGCTCTAGCTCTTTGGGTTCTTTAAAAGAAGATTTTTTAAGTTTTTACTATATGCATATAGGGAAAATCAATGACCCCCCCGGGGCGGGGCCAATTTTGACCCCAGGGCTTTTATTTGAACAAACTTGGTAGACACTCACTAGAAGATGTTTCATGCCAAATATCTAAGCTCTAGCTCTTTGGGTTCTTTAAAAGAAGATTTTTTAAGTTTTTACTATATGCATATAGGGAAAATCAATGACCCCCCCGGGGCGGGGCCAATTTTGACCCCAGGGCTTTTATTTGAACAAACTTGGTAGACACTCACTAGAAGATGTTTCATGCCAAATATCTAAGCTCTAGCTCTTTGGGTTCTTTAAAAGAAGATTTTTTAAGTTTTTACTATATGCATATAGGGAAAATCAATGACCCCCCGGGGCGGGGCCAATTTTGACCCCAGGGCTTTTATTTGAACAAACTTGGTAGACACTCACTAGAAGATGTTTCATGCCAAATACCTAAGCTCTAGCTCTTATGGTTTTTTAAAAGAAGATATTTAAAGTTTTTTCTTTCGGTTGCCATGGCAACCAGAGTTTTGCATGGAATTAAATTCTTTGAACAATTTTTAAAGGTGACCACCAAAGGAACATTCCTGTGAAGTTTGGATGAAATTGGCTTAGTGGTTTATGAGGAGATGTCATTTAAAGTAAAAGTTTACGGACGGACGACGGATGGACGGACGGACGCCGGACGAAAAGCGATCACAAAAGCTCACCCTGTCACTTTGTGACAGGTGAGCTAAAAAACAAGAGCACCGCTAGGCAGAGCATTATTTGCCTGAAAGTGTTTTGTTTTTTTAGTAAGGCTGAAGCATTTGTAAGACATGAGAATTAAATAAAGTATTATCTCCTTCAAATAGCAATCCTCATAAGAAGTTTGAACACTGTGGGCCAAATGTAACTTAAGTTATGCTCCGGAAACTGTTTTCAGTTTTAAGGTAATAGTGACTTTGACCTTGTGACCCCAAAATCAATATGGGTCTTCTACCCAATATGGACAATCATCCTATGAAGTTTGAATATTGTGGGCCGAATGAAACTTAAGTTATACTCCGGAAACCAAATTGCTAAAGGACGGACAGACGGACGCTAGGGGGTATAACATAATATGCCCGAAATTCTTTCGGGCATATTAAAAGGGAACAAATTAACTGCCAAAGGAGATTGTTTAACTACGTACCAGATCCAGAGATAAGCACACCAACTCTTTTCTTCCTGCTAACGCCAGGCACATGTCTCCAGCACTGTATCAGAGCTGTCTGTAACTTCTCTATGATCACTCTACGCTCTCCTATACATATACATAGAGGATATTGAATAAGTGATGGTTTAATACTAAATTTATTAAATGAGTTGAATAAAATCCAGAGGCCAGAGGCTCGCATAATATTGTTTTATTTAACGATTCAATAAATTTAGTATTGAATCTACACGAATATTCTATTTATCACATATTCAAAAAGAGAATGGTTAACAGTTAAAACAAGTCATTTTTTATTGATGCACCTATAGTGTAACACTAACATTAGCACACTTTATGCGCATGTTTATATGAAGCGCAAATGATGTCACATCAAAGTGTTATTACACTAGTGTAATATCGGCTTTATTGCACTCATATGTTGTGGTTTATGTGATAAATACAAGTATTTAAAATAAGAGTATTTTTATTCATTATAAAATAAATAACATGAATGATAACATGAATTTACTCATGTATTAACATTACCACACTAATTATCTTAAACGGACTTGTCCATCTTTCAAACTGGACAAAAACTATTCATCATTATTAGGGTATATTTCTAATAGTTTACCAACTGAATAGCCAAGTTGCACAGTGTAGACCATGATTAAATGGCACTAATGTACCAGCTGATCTTGGTCTACACTGCTCGGATGGGTATATTTATATGTTTCGGTTAGCAGGCAAAATGTTGTAGTCAACTACTTTAAAAGTTTCTCATAAAGAAGATCCTAAAGTGAACAAAGTCTCTCTTTTTTTATTTTTGGTTGGGTTTCACAACAACACAGTAAAGGTCATATGGGCGACTTTCCAGCTTTACTAGTGGAGGAAGACCACCCACTAGGCGAATAGAACCATCCACATTCTGTAAGCTAACTGGATATCTAAGCTTCTTCACATGTAAGAATCCATAGTTCTTGTAGAGATTCAAACCCACAGTGGTGAGAGGCAAGTGGTTTGTAGTCAACGACCTTAATCAATTGGCCACAGATGCCACCAACACATCCTCTTACTGTTACTATGAAAGTTTACTTTTAGTGCCGGAACATTAGATATAAGATTTAAAATGTGTAACTCCTACAGTAAGCAAGGCATTATTTCTTGCTTCTTTAATCTTAATATCACCATGTCTTTAATTGCATAAGCTGTGCTATCATACATTGCCAATATAATCAAAGAATTGTTTCGGAAAAGTAAATCAAACTTCAATATAATCATCCAATTTACTACATGAAAGATTTTGCATAACAACTAATAGATACATATATTTTCTTCTTTACAACAGAGAAGTTATAAGTATTACTTTATAAATGAAGGTGCTGCAAGAAAAAGTAAGGATGGAAGAATTTTTTAGCAAAATCCAACAAACCTGTTTGTTTCTCTACAGAACCAATCACTGCAGCTGTCTCACCACCAGTAGAGAGCTGTTCTACAATCTGATTGGCTAGTGAATGGTCCACTATAAGTACTGCACCAATACCACAGTTAAATGTCTTTGCCATCTCAGATTCTGGTATATTTCCCTGTAACAATCATAATTATATAAAACTTTTTATACACAACCATTCAAGTATGGACATATAAACAAACATCTGAAATCACAATCATGGATAGACAAATATTTGAAAAATAAAAATTTATTTTCTTAACCTATTCCTCTATCATTGAATTTGTTTTTTGGCCAATCTGTGGCTGTTCTTAATCCTCCAATAGCCTATTAAGTGAACAAATTCAAATATATTGGCTAAAAACATTTACCACTCTATTACAAGTACTACATTTACTAATAATTCAGTAGTAAGTCAACAAAGAAACGTTATGATAAATTATTGACCTATGAAAATAATATATTTGAGCACTGAAACTGTAAAATGTACACAAGCAATACAGTATACTGATTAAAAAATGAAGTTAAAAAACAAAGCAACCTTCATATAATCCGAAATATATATGATAATCCAGCGACAACCTCTATCATAGTCAAAGTTTTTGGTTTCCCTAAACCGGTAATATTGTTAATAAAACTATTTCTTCCTTCGGTAACTTACCTTTTCTGACAGCCAGCCAAAGACTGGGGGCATGTTCCATTTACTGGCATCCAACCTGACCCTGTGACCATCTGGGAGGATTCTTGGAATATTCTCCACTAGCCCTCCTCCAGTAATGTGAGCGAAAGCTTTCACGTCCCCGGTCTTCATCAATGGGAGAACAGCGTCAACATAAATTCTGGTTGGGGTTAAAAGGTCATCACCTGTAATAATTTATATTGTTATGGTCATACCTATTGGATCAAGTTACATTTCAATACTAACTTTAAACTTAACCCTGATGGCATCAACTGAATCTACCCATGTGACCAGTGCAGACCATAATCAGCAAGCACTTCTTGACCTCATGCAAAGTTCCATACTGGAAGTAAACCTAATCTATTATACAAGTAGAAAGGTGGGAGGACTCAATACATAAGTACATGCTGGTTTATGACAGATACACTGTTTAACAGGTACTAAACTAAACAAAAATCTTACTTATAGTAGGAGCTGAAATAATGGATTATGATGCTCTTTTTTATTTAAGCTGAAAAAGATTAAATTACTTTAATACTATTACATGTAGTTATAATTGACTCAAAAACATAACAAACTTAAGTAGTATCTATATTATATTATTACAAAAGTAACTCACCTAGACTGTTTCCAGTCTTGAACGGCGAAGGTTTATCATATCTCAGCTCCAACTTCTCTACAAGTTTTCTAACTAAACTAAACCCGTTACTATGGAGACCGCTGGATCCCAGTCCAATCAGGGCATCACCTTCACGTATGTTCTGAACACGGGGAAGTATCTTGTTACGCTCTACGGCACCGACAGCAAACCCGGCTATATCATAGTCACCTTGCTGGTACATACCAGGCATCTCAGCTGTTTCTCCACCTGAATAAGAGGTTGTGTTTGTTTGTTTATTTGGTTTTACAGTGCACAAACACAATATAGTTCATATGATGCCAGAACAGGAATTTCATATACGATTTTCGCTAACCTTGGGTGTTACAAACTTCAAAGCAACACCAGGAGTCAAAACCACCACACCTGCTGGAGCTAAGAGATGCAGAGACTTCATTTATTCTAACCCATTTGAGCCGAGTCACGACAAAACCAACGTGATGCGTTTGTGACCAGCATGAATCCAGACCAGCCTGCACATCCGCGCAGTCTGATCAGAATCCATGCTGTTCGCTATCAGTTTCTCTACTTGTTATACAGTTCGTAAGCGAACAGCATGGATCCTGATCAGACTGCGCGGATGCGCAGGCTGGTCTGGATCCATGCTGGTCGCAAACGCATTACGTTGGTTTTGTCGTGACGCGGCTTATTTAGTATCCTCTTACGATCACTCAGGGATAAATTGGGGCTGTAATTCTTTTGCCTTAACCATTACTGGCAACCCCTAAGCCACACGGGTTTAGTTTAAAAGTAAAATGATGCATAAAATTATAGTAAAATGATGAATAAAGTTATGTTTTTTTATTTGTTATTTGGGATTTCAGCGCTTATTTCAAAACATGTTTTAGTCACATCTCAGCAGGTGATTCACCTAACAAACTTTCCTGGAATGTAACAAACAATTTCCAGTTTCTCCACAAGTGACAGACTACCAATCCCACATGGTTTCTGAATCAACTTTGAGACACAAATGACCTTTAGACTCGATTTCTACACTAAAAATATTCTTCTATCAAATGTATGAAACTTCAAAGTTTAACATGTTTTCTATGTAGTTTCTGTAAATAATCAAGTATGTTTATGATAATATTTAATTGATTGAAAATGTCTTTGAAAGCATGAAATGTCTTCGGAATGTAAAATAATGCATAAAATTATGTCAATTTGTTTTGTTTTTCTGGATTTTAGCACCCATTTTAACAAATGTTTTTAGTCACAGCTTTTCAGTGGGTCCAACTAACCGGATTAAACTATGAATAGCAAAGTACATGATACCTGAAAAAACTTACACCAAATACAGAGGACACATTTATGAGACAGAAGAGAAATGAGTACACATACCGACAAGAGCACATCCAGCCTGTTTACATCCCTCTGTGATACCTTCTATAACATCCCTTGCCACATTTACCTTCAACCGCCCTGTGGCGTAATAATCCAGGAAATAGAGAGGCTCTGCTCCATGGGCCAGTATGTCATTAACACACATAGCTACTAGGTCAATTCCAATAGATTTATGATGCTCAATAGCCTGAGCAATCTAAAATATAACAGAAATGTTTACTGTTTAAAATCCGTTTATAAAGCCAACATTTATACAAAGAAATATTCAGATTCCTTATTCCAATTATTCCCTACCTTTCCTCTTATTAGTAAAAGGGGTTTTAATAACTGACTACAAAAATTCAGGGAGGCCTACATGGAGTAGCTTGCTGAATTCAAACCACTCACCATTGTGGGTTCGAATCCTGCTATGGACATTAAGGATTCTTTCATGTGAGAAAGCTATCCAGCTGGCTGACGGAAAGTCAGTGGTTCTACTTAGATAATCTGCTAGTGACATAATGCAAGAAGAGGCAGCTGGGGTCTTCCTCGACCACATAAGCTGGATAGTTGCCATATGAGTTATATATAAACTTAAAGCCATATGTTAATGGACTTTGAAAATATTTGAGGTATTACAAAAACTTTAACGTTAAGTCGAAAAAGGGGTATAATTCTGTCAAAATGCTTGATACAGTTACCTCCTCCTGTCTACAGGTTGGGGTCATGATGGTGAACACATGTGCAAAGTTTCAAAGCCATATGTCAATGGACTTTGAAAATATTTGAGGTATTACAAAAACTTTAACATAAGTGGTTACGCCAACGTCGACGCAGACACCGACGCTCGGGTGACTACAATAGCTCTACTTATTCTTATCGAATACTAGTTGAGCTAAAAAATATGAAGAATAAGCAGCCTGTTCAAACTTTATGGCTGTGTCAGGAGACCTGGCTCTATCCTAGTTGTACAGCTCTGTTGCTGTAATACTTCTACCGTTGAGAGGATTTAATGCTATTTTTAGTAACGTGATAGAAAAGCAGGCAGTAAAACACACATTTTTCATTCCTCTTCTTGCCGCAAATATAACTTCTGATCAACTTCTTAATATGAAAGCTTCTTCAAATAACTTAATATATTGGTTTATTTTGGTCCAGGGGAGATAAATTGAGAATCTTTTCAAGTCATTTTGCCTTCCACATTTATTAATTTAAATGCTCTCCAAGGCAACAAAATGGAATCTGCACACTGAATGGTGACTTCTGGCGCATTTTAGGCGCACATTTTAAAATAAAGTCTTCTACATATTTCACAAATTTCAAACTTAATATATGAAAGCCAGGGTTTTAAATTCAGGTTGATGTCTTAAGAAAACAGTTTCTGATGTTTTTTCACATACTCAATTTAAATTTCATTTTTCTACAATTTCCAAGAATTTCCCTGATTTAATAGGGGAAAAAAACACCACAGGCCAAGGTGTCTGGGGCACCTTTTCCCTATCACCCCATCCTATCGGAGCTGTGCTTGCAACTTCTCATATCAAGGTTTGCATAAAACTTAACTTCTTATACTTGCCTTAAGTTTGGTTCCCACACCATCTGTGCCAGACACCAGTATAGGATCTTGAAAGCCTGCAGCCTTGAGGTCAAAGAGGGCACCAAATGATCCAAGGGCTGCCATACAACCAGATCTAAATATTTATAATACATGTATTTCATATATGTGGATTGATAGCAATGAATATCAATTTGTATCAAAAGAATTAAGGAACCACTATCTTTTTCTCTACATTTGGCTATCAATAATTTTGATTTCATTATATAACCTTTTTTTTATGTACACAATTATTTGTTTGTTTTTAAGCTGATTTTAACTCATCTTTGGTTATACCTTGGCAGTCTGTACACTTTTTCAGCTTTACTTGTTAAGTAACATGTGCTTAACAATTTCTCCTTAAATGAGTGACTACTGATTCAAAATGATTTCTGAATCAACATTGAGATACCAAAGAAAACAATAAGCCAAACAAGGGCAACAATTTTGCAATATACACCAGGTCCTGTCACAAAAGCTTTTGACAGAGATTTGGCAATATAGATATGCATATAGGAGATATTCTCTGGGCAATATCTGGAAAATATCTGGATATATTATCATCTCTAGTGATTTTTTTTATCTGAACTTGTCACCTATGTGTGACCTTGACCTTGGCTGCAGGGATCTAAATTTTGCATGTGACATTCTGCCTAACAATAATAGTGAACATTTGTGTCAAGTTATATTGAAATCCCTTTTTGCATGTAGACAAGCACTTCTCTATGACCTCTAAGTGTGACCTTGACCTTTGACCTAGAGGCCTGGTTCATGCACGCGACACAACTTCTCATAGTGGTGAACAATTGTATTAAGTTTCATTAGAATCCCTCCGTATGTGTAGGAGATATGCTCTGGACAAAATCTCTATATTTTATCATCTTTTGGGACCTTGACAATCATCTTTAGTGACCTTGACCTTGCATATATTAACCTAAATTACACGTTTCACACCAGTAATCATAATAATGACCATTTGTGTTTCAATCACTCAATAAATGATGACTAAATTGCCAAGAGAACAAAAACGGCAAAAAAAATTTCATGTATATAACAAACCAGTATATCTTGGAAAACTGTCACAAGATACCAAAGACTTTAAGAAATAGTACTGATAGCATTTCTGAGGCATAATGGGCCTTTAAATCATGTATAACAATATATATATATATACCTTGTAGATGAGGCAGCTAGAGGTTTTATAGCTTGTACAAGATTGTTACCAGCAGCAATATCTACACCTGCATCCTTATAACTTAATGGTGGTGTATGTAATGACCTGAAAATATTACAAATTTTACATCAATTATAGTATACATATCTCAAGGTCATATTTACAAATCTCAAGGTCATATTTCGAAAAGTCCATCATAATTATTTTCAGAGCCACTCATCCTACAAAAATGACTGCTAAATTTCCATTAGTCCTGCATGTTACGCTACTCTTCCTGCATTTCATGCCCGATTATTAAGTTTAACTGCGCCCACTTAAATTTATAACTAAGCTAATATTTTGGGATATGTAAAAAACTTACACAGTATAAATCATTGATGGGAGTTTAGATTATTTAGATGCACCAGTCAGAAGTTTATTCAGTGCGTATTTTAAACATTAACTTAAAATATTAGCTTGATTTCTGTTTTTCTTTATGAAATCTAAACATTTCAAATATGTTTATGCCAGAGCATCATAGTTTTGCCACTTGCAGCAGATTCTACCGGTATATGCCAGCAGACGGGTGGAATTTTCAATATCCGTCTATTTCTTACAAATAATTATATAATGATTACATACTGACAGACATGAAGGTTTATTATCTATATAATGTAAGGGTGTTTTAGCATGACCTGGTAAAATTCCATGTTCAACATGTATCTACTTGGACCCTTTTTCTTTCAAGCATATTGAATAAGGATGGCTTGAGATATGGGAAACAAAAAAAATGATCAGAAGAATATCGTAAATACTTTTGTGATTGGGCTTCATTTCACACAGACTCTAAAATAACAAGTTTTAAGCATACAGTATGTGGCAGAAAAACTCGGTCACCAAGTGTACACTACAATTTTAATATCAAGAGAACCTAGTTAACCTCTGATTGGTCGTCTGTTATAATACTGACAAAACAAATATCAATGCTTTATATATACATTATGCTCAAATTTAATATTTGAAAATATTGAAAATTGCTATACTGTCTATTTGTTAATATAAAATCAACATGTTTCAACTTCACAAACAGAGTACATTGTATATATGTTACGTTTTGAAGTTGACACACTATAGAAGGCCACAATATGAATATAAAGTGTCGTTAAACTCGCAGTTTTTTAAAGAAAGGACAAGCTTAACTTGACCAATAATAGGGAGTGCAGCTTCCGATACATAGTTTGTAAATCATATTACTCAAATTAGACATATTCAGTAAGAAGTTTATAGATTTCCATAAATTTCTGCGAGAAAATTATTTTACTCAAAGATGGGCAAAGTATATTCTTAAAACAGAGCTCACATCAATAAGCAGAGGGTAGTCAAAAGGCTAAAAGTAACATCTCACCTACTAACAACCCTAAATCCTATATCTTTCCTATGATACACTCCATCAAACTTGATCATTTCAGCTCCTTTCTGTGCCACTGATGCCGCTGTTTCAAAGTTTGACTCCATCGCCATCAGGGCAAGTACACGACCCCCACTCGTTACCAACGAGTCATCTTTCATACTAGTGCCAGCATGGAATACAGTTATACCAAGATTTTCTGCTTCTTCTATTCCTGAAATGGGTAGTTAAAGGCAAAAAAATTAAAACTCTGAATAGAACTTTTAGACCTCATTTTTTTTCCCCATTTCTTTATCACACTTACATTACTTATTTAATTTAATGTGCTGTGATGTTACAAACAACAAACAAATAATCATTGACAAGATAACTTTACCTATTCTTAAATGGTGACAGCACATCATGTTATCTCTGATTTATCAAATTACATCAAAACATTAATTTTATACACTATAACATGCCTTCTATAACACATTAATACATTTGCTAAAAATGTTAGACAAATATACATTTATATATATATATATATAGGTACTTAAAATTCTAATTTGTTTGTTTTAGTCTAGACCAGATTATCATCTCAAGCAATTTCTGGCCCTTTCAAAGTTTGTATCTTGCCGCACTAGTTTTAAGCAAAACCAATCTGACCATTGACCACACTCTATCCTGAATATCTGATTGAGTTTTTTACATTGATATTAAAATCCTGTATATTACTTCAACTTCCTGGCATTTTTTGGTGGTTTCTATGTCACACCAACATGGTAAAGGTCATATGACTACTTTCCAGCTTTACAGGACTGTGGATTCCAGCTTTACAGGTGGCGGAAGACCTCAGGTGCCCTTCCTGGCATTATTTCAGGCAAGAACAGGACCTATGAGAACCACCAGCCTGCTGGATAGCTTCCTCACATGAAAGAATCTTAAATCCCGGACAGGTTTTAAAAAAACAGCACAGGAGGAAGGGGGAGGCAGAGGGCTTAGTTGTTAAAGCCAACAACTGAACAACTTGGCCATGTATGCCATGTTTACTAACCGGTATTGATGTCATTCTAGTAAACATGATTTTCTTTTACATTAACAATGAAAACTTTCAAATTCTATAAAATCAAGTCTATTAATATATAAATTTAGCCAGGAAGGGTAAAAGAAAATGTTTATCTACAAATTCTTGTTCAGACACCTTACCTGTGATAGTACATCCCTTCTTATATGAACCTGGGTAGCCACCACTGACCAGAACGACACCCAGTACTTTCTTACTGAGGTCATACTCTGGTAGATTATCACTGAGGGTACCTTTAACACAGGCCTCACATGTCGTATACAAGTCTGTCTTCATCAATGGAAGAATGGACTGAAAGATATTCTGAATTGTTAATGGATACTTTAAAAAGTTCTCAAATTGATATCTAAAACAGATAATCTTGAAAATTAAGAATTTTTTTTTTTTTTTGGAAGTGGGCAGACAAATGATAAACATATTCATACTTTATTGTTTAATCATTCAATTTTGTTAGCTCACAACATTTTTATCTTAGGGGAGACAAACAACTATATTATACCTAAAATGGTTTACTGACCTCATTTATAAAGCCAAACTTCACATGGCAACATCAATTTTGGTACACAGACATTATCAAATGGCCTTCATCTACATAACAGGTTATGGGTTTTAGATAGATGATGTTTTTCTTATTTGTTCAGTACAATAAAATATATATCATATCCCACCATGAGTTATAGAGCAAAATGTTTACACTTGACAAGATAATAACACTTGTGTCGGGTGAACAATTCGTCCTTTCACTCTCAGTAGTGTGGTGAGGTATGGTAGTGTAACCGTAATCCGGAACATACCGTTCCCGGAAGGTACGAGATTTAGTCCGGGCAAGACGAAAACGATTCCTAGCCGCCATCTTGTAAGAAGGTAATTAGAACGGCAAGATAAATCCGAAGAATCTGAGAGATATAAATGGTCATCCGTACAGGGAAAGTGTTTCAAGGTAAGCAGAACACTTTAATGGTGGCAGCTACTATTCGAATTCACGTCAACTTCGTAGGAATTCTACGCAAATCCGGAGGTAAACCAGCGATTTTCTCAACCATAAAAACTTTCGTTTTCAAATATTGAAATCTAAGTATTTCCTATATTTGGGAGGGGGAAAAGGGACTGTTGGTTTGGATTGAACAAGCACTGTACGTTTAGATGATTTAATGTGGAAATTTACTAAAATTGAGTATTTAGAGTACTCTTTTGGTAAGTTTAGAAACTTCGGATATTCGGACTTACGACGCATGCGTATTGGAAAGCTAAGCTTCCGCCCTGGATCAGTTTCGCACGTGAAAACTGTGCCAGTTCAGCATTATATTTTAAATATTTTTGAATAATATTTGGGTTAAATTTTTGGTATATTTTCAGCGGTTCAGTATAATTGATTGATTTTATTTGCATTGTTGTTTTTCAAGGTCAATACACAAAGTAGATTTACTCTTGTTTGATTTTTGTTTGTATGTATATAGTTGAAGGCTAAGTCTCACTATATATTTAATTTTACAATTAGAGGCAAAGATCCTCATTGTATTTATAATAAACAAGGTCAGATTTTTGTATTTTATTTTCGTTATTGATTTTTGAATTACTAAGTAAATATTCTATCATAATTTTTATCTGAATTGTTTAAATAAATGTAAATTATTTTTTGGGAAGGAAATATTTGTCTGTAATACATTAAAGTAATTTCGAATGTAAAATAATTGCAAGTCTGCTGTCTAACGACTGATTGACTTGACATACTTTAGCTGAACTTCACTGAATCCAATTGCACGAATTATAACTAATTCCTGCATAAGTCGTCGTTATATCTTTGGGCTACCAAGTAAGAACAAAAATAATGGCAGGGTGCAGCGAAAGAATTTGTGTTAATTTTGCTTCGAAAGAGGAACTCCTAAGGATTCCGGGCATAAGTTCAAGGATAGCTGAGTCTATTATTACAATCCGTAATAGTGGAGGGAATATAACACTTGGAGTGCTGCAAGACATGTTAGAGCGCACTTTAGATAAGGAAGAAGTAGCTCTGCTGGACTTGTCACTAAGTGAGGGTTTGCCATTAGATTGGGGGAAAATACTACCTAAAGTACCATCTTCGTCAAGGAAAGATTCTGGTGAAGGAGGGGACAGTCGAGCAATTTTGGACAGCTTGTTGGATGTTCAAGAAAAAGGGAACTTCCATGAAGATGCTGAGGAGCCCGACAAGATTCCATCAAGTAAGGATTGGCAAGAGGTACAAAAAGTCTTGAAAGTAGCCAAAGATATCATTCGCGCCAAAAATGCAAGTAGTGCGGTTGACCCCCTGTCCTCAAAGGCCAAGTCTTTGAGAGGTGGGGCGCGTCCCAAGCTAAACACAGCTGCTAGGTATGAAGATTCTTCAAGTGATGAATTATCTGGACTGAGTAGACAATCTTCTCCGCATCCTAGAGTTAAACATAGCGCGAAAAAGTCTGAAACTGCAGCATTTATTCGGAGTCTGCCGAAGAGGTTGCAGTATGATGGAAAGGGAAACTGGCTGGCATTTAAGCAGAAGTTCTTTCGTTATGCTAACGCATGCGATTGGACGTCAGACGAATGCCTTGATGGTTTATGCTGGTGCCTGACTGGAAAAGCCGCTGACTATCATGCAATCATCGTGGAGAGAGATGGCGATATTTCTTATCGGAAGCTCTTGCAGAAACTAGAGATGAGATTTGGTTCCAGGGAACCTGCTGAAACAGCCCAAGTGTGTTTCCAGCAATCTTCACAGCTGCAGGGGGAGTCTCTTGATGATTGGGCAGATAGGGTCATGACCCTGGCGACAAATGCGTTCAAAGACCTGCCTGAATACTATTCCAATAGGCAGACAGTGAGCAAGTTTTGTGAGGGTCTGGTAGACAAAGATGCCGCGGTAGCCGTAGCCATGGATAGACCTTCAACCATGGAGGAGGCAATGAATAAAGTCAACTGGTATCAGCACCTGCATCAGTCAGTTTATGGCCGTTCTAAGAAGAGGGCTAGTAAAGAAGTTGTTGACGATGGTGCTAATGTGTTTGCCCTAGAAGAAGCTCCTGAGGTTGCGCAAGCCAACGCTGCTCCATCTCAGTTGAGTTCTTTGGAAGTGGCAATTGAGAAGCTTCAGAGATGTTTTGACAACATGGTCCTGAAACTAGATGAGGAGAACACTTCTCAAGGAAGAAGCAGATGGCCTAGAAGAACTTGTTTCGGTTGTGGGAAAGAGGGTCATTTCAAGTCTGACTGCCCCTCACTGCAATAAAAAAAAATCAAATAAAAAGGGGAGGAGGTAGTATGTGTTCTTCCGGTTAGCGCCAGAGTCGCAAACCAGCGTCATTTCATGCTAAGCATGGAGTGAGACCAGGTTTGTGAAGGAAACAGTCATGGACTAAGTTCCATGCTGGATGTATTCTCGATGTAGACAGCATGTAAAGAAACATTAGCAAGTGTGTTGCAGAATAGTTCAATTCGAGGCTCATTTGGTTATTGCTGGGAAAGAAGTAACACAGACAGTTTAAGCCAGGTCGAGGAGGGTTGTTCCATATCAACATAATCCTATGTGTTTGTCAGAAGCATGTCAAAGCTGCATTGTCACGAATACCGGTATCGGGGCATTGTACGAGTATGTTTCTGGGGTCGAACTGAGGAAACTGCCTTGTGGGGGATGTGATCATTGCGCAAGGGTTGACTTGGACCTCGTCATGAGGGACGAAGATGTGGCAATTCTCTTGGTATTGCAAGGTGTGTGAAGATGAAGTTTGACCGTGACAAGTCATAAGGTATCATCACAATAATGTCGATAACCAGGTATCACGAGGTGTGCGAAAGATGAAGTTTGACGAAAGTCATAAGGTATCATCGCAATAATGCTGATAATCTGGAAGAGATTTGCGGATCCATTGTATCGTCGGCAATTCCAAGGTCACAAGGGTCGCAAAGGTTCACAAGGAAGCAAATGTCCAAATGTTGGGGTTGTACGCACAGAATCAGGTCAATGGTGCTAAAGTTTAGTGTGTTTGAAGATGCTGTAAGATTGTGAGCAGATATTGAGAATACAGATGCTCTTATGGTGGAAGGGGAAATAGGGCACAGTTTTGAGTAGTGGAACAACTTTCGCTAGAAGCTGTAGAGTAACTTCCGCCAGCAGTGCTAGTTCTAAGAGCTAGTGCTGGGTATTTAGTATTGCCAAAGTCATTAAGTAGTTCTAGTAGGTCCTGGGGCTAAGTCCCACTGGCTGAATAAGGAACAGTGCTTATAAATAGACTAAGTTCTATTGAGGGACATGGGCTATACTAAAGGTAAGATTCCCAATAAGTAGAAAGGTTCTTCAGATGAGTCAGGATATACCATCAGGTGGTCTCAGGGGTGTTGCAGTGACCAGGGCCAGGTTTAAGAAGACATTCTTCTGGTATGGCAGGGGTCAGGATTACGCAAGTCATGTGACGACATGTGGAATTGCATTTGCAGCATGAAGACGGATGGTCATGGGCAGGTTGGCACAACAGGTCCTGTTCTGAAGATACAAGGGAAAACAGAGGTTACAGCCAAAGCAAGCTGTGGTGCCTTTGATGCTGTTGGGCGATCTTATTGAGAAATTACAGAAGCCTGGGATATTAACAAGTACAAATGTGCAATGCTAAGTTTGTTGCTTTCTTGTTCTGTGTTAATGTGGCTGCTGTGGTGTAAAAAGTAGCTCCATAAATCTGTAGTCAACACTCAGGTTTGGTGTGGAGGTGTAAGCTGCAATCGGCTTAGGAACTGGACGCTGGCCGCTGTTAAAACAGTGCCCAGGAAGGTAAGATATCTAAGATATCAGTTATCCAGTTAAGCTATCTGTCAATAACTTGTCAGATAGGCATTTGGCAGATTACTGTTGCACAGGCTAAGCCTGCCCACTTATAATCTGTGTTTACAGGCCAACGCCTGTAAAGGCGGTATTGTGGGTACTGGTTTGAAACCCAGGAGTGGACTTGAATCTCGGGTTTCCGCACTTCCGGTGAGAGGACTTCATCTTTAAAGTCGGGGGGAGTGTGGTGAGGTATGGTAGTGTAACCGTAATCCGGAACAGACCGTTCCCGGAAGGTACGAGATTTAGTCCGGGCAGGACGAAAACGATTCCTAGCCGCCATCTTGTAAGAAGGTAATTAGAACGGCAAGATAAATCCGAAGAATCTGAGAGATATAAATGGTCATCCGTACAGGGAAAGTGTTTCAAGGTAAGCAGAACACTTTAGTAGGATGATAACAATATAGATCTAATATCAAATCATCAGCATTATTTTTCAGGGCTGACAGAACCACGCCATGAAGCCTACAGTGAAAATAACCCCTTATCACTTGTCCATAAAATAAAATAGCATTAACCTGTGTCTCTGGGTCTCCAAACCTACAATTGTACTCTAGAACTTTTGGACCATCATCTGTCATCATCAGTCCAGCATACAACACACCTGTTACATGAAAATACATGTATTAAACCTTAAAATTGCTAAAAAAACGCTTCTGTTATAAAATAATAAATACAGAATAATAAGCTTATAAACTTTTGAATCCGTTTCCGGAAACAACCAGTGTTTAGCAACGAGAGTTTTATGGTTTCTTGCCCAAAGATAAAACAGCATGCCTGCAGCATGGCTAGAACACATACAACCACAAATCTGTAAGTTACTAGAGTCACGACTTGCCCTCTTTAGTGAGAATTTGGAATCTTACTGTATAAAGCAGCATAACTCTGTAATACGGTAAGTTAACTCTCAGGGTTAAGGGACCTGTGCCCATCATGTTAGATAATCACAAAGAACAAGTGTGTGAATGTTAGAACCATTCTCTTCAGGAATTTGGATAGACCAATTTTACTTTCATGCAAAAAGATTTAAACAAAGTGTGATGCTGACATAAAATTGTGTACAATAGCTCTAGATATTCTTTGAATAGTCAAGATATAAAGTCCCATGGTTATTTTGCTACAGGTGACAAGGTGTCAAACAAACCACCTACCAACATATGGTATACCCTCTTCTCTGAGACCATCAATAGTTTTCTGCATAATATCTTCCCTTATTCTTTTCAAATCTGAAAATCCAACCTGTAATATCCAACAAATATGTTTTATTTACCCTGACACAACAGTATTTATATAATGGACTAGTCCTCCTTTTGAATTTGGAACTGTTCATTATAAGCTGAAGTGGATACATCTACAAACAGTCAAATCTTAGCAGCTAATTGTATAAATCCTATTAAGACTGCTGGTATAGGCATAACATTATCCTTGCATAAAATCTGTGCAAGCAGGTGAACATTAACCAAGAACATAAATGGATAAAATCACAAGCATATGCTGCCTGTTTTAAATCTTAGGATACCATGTAATCAACATATTGCATGCCATATGATCAGCATACATGAGTGTATAGCATTTAATATAATCAGCATCTTGCATGCCATATAATGAGTGTATTGCATGCAATATAATCAGTGTATTGCATGCCATATTATGAGTGTATTGCATGCCATATAATCAGAGTTGTCCATGTCATATAATAAGGGTATTGCTTGCCATATAAACAGCATAGTGCATGCCATATAATTATCATATTGTATGCCATATAATCAGCATATTGCATGCCATATAATCAGTGTACAGTAATGACATACTATGTCATATTACCATTGTATAGCATGCCATATAAACAGCATATTGCAAATGATTGACACAGTTGTTTCATTATCAAAATATAACAGTTAATTGACAAAGCAATAGACATGTAAAGCATGACAAGAAACTAATTTACATATTCCAATCACAAAGTAATGGAATTACTGAATAAGTCATAACTCTATTTCATTAGAACAAGGATAATATATATGTAGCATAAGAACCCTTCAGTACAATATTATGTTCTGTAATACTGACACAACTTTTAAGTTTGTTGGGGATATACATTTTTTGTGTACGAGTTACCTTAGGATATGGGCATACAGCCCCCATTCCACCTGTGTTTGGCCCCTCATCTCTGTCAAGGAGACGCTTGTGGTCCTGAGCTGCTGGCATCAAAGACACTGTTGTGCCATCACTAAATGCCAGAATCTATAATTAACAATAATACAAAGAAATAAAAGCATTATTGGCCAAGCTCATCCTGAAATTCTTGGAATGAACTTTCATTTCTAGAACTTTACATTTATTTATATATACATGTATTTTGGAGATATGATATATCAAGATGAAATGTTAATGTCAGCCAAGAATACAGAGCAAAAACAAACTATATGTTTTGGACCAGCTGACTTAACTACACAGGGGACAAAGATTGTATTCTTTCTGATCCGAAATTTTAATGGCTGGATTAGTTTATACGTTCAAATCTGATATTGAAAAGGAAAAAATCTGATATTGAAAAGGACAAAATATTTATTAAAACTGCTCAATTCAAGTATATATTTTATGATGCAGACATAACCAAGATCACATATAAATAAAAAGCTAATAATGTAGAAATAAACTTTACAGAATGTAAAGAATTTCCCCAGTTCTTGTAACGGACAGAATAAGACAAACTGAAGGGTAGAACAAAAAATAAAATGATGTGTTAAATGAATATATTCTCCATCTGGTCCAAGTATCATCAAAATAATTTTTGAGTTAAAGGCAGGATCCTTATTTTTTCTGACTGACATAATGATGGGCACAACCTCTAAAAGTTCTTCTATTCACATACCAAGAATCATCAACCTAGCATTTATGATTGTACTTTTTAAGTTAGGATCCAATTTCTTTGGAGACATAGGATGACAGACAAATAGACCGGTGAAAAACTGAAAATGATATACATAAACTTCATATGAGCCGCGCCATGACAAAACCAACATAATGGGTTTGAGACCAGCATGGATCCAGACCAGCCTGCATATCCGCGCAGTCTTATCAGGATCCATGCTGTTCGCTTACAAACCCTATAACAAGTAAAGAAACTGATAGCAAACAGTATGGATCCTGATCATACTGCGTGGATGCGCAGGCTGGTCTGGATCCATGCTGGTAGCAAACCCATTATGTTGGTTTTGTCATGACGCGGCTCATATGGTCTTCTATACACAAACAAAGTACCATCAATCTAGCACATTTTGAGATTAAACTGATTTCAAATTTCTTCAGACAGATGCAATGAGAGATAGTTGGATGGAAATACCTAAAACACCTTCCTGTAAAACCTATAGGGGAATAATTACCATATACAGACATAATTTTAACACAAAAATAATTACCAGAGAACAGACAACGACTGTCTGATAATATAGGATTTCTGGCATCAACTCCATGTAACAGTACCAGACACCTATCATTTAAGTACTGTGTATTCACTTAATTTTGTGGGCATTAAATTTCGTATTTTTGTTGTCAAAGAACATGTTGTGGGTTCTTAAAGTCAAGGACAGTTTTGTTGTTATTTTTTTTTTCTCAAAAGGTTAAACAAATAACAGGATTCAAAATAATCTTACAGCAGTTGAAATCAAATTTTGTTGGATCTTAAACTTTTGGATTGACCCTTCCACTAAAACCATGAATATTTAATTTAATTCCCGCAAAACATAATGATTTTGCAGTATACTTACAGAGACTTCTTCACCTTGTAACAACTCCTCAACAACAACTGTGTCACCGGCTCCACCAAATTTCTTCTCCTAAAATAACAAAAAGTTTTCTTTATACTTTTGCTTTATTGTACTGAAATTAGATACAGGAAAGGTAGGGAGTGAAATACAAGGGGCATATTTTAATAAGTGGCAATGGCAGTGTCTTTTTATAAATAAGTCATACTTGTAAAAATTGATTATTTGAGTCCTTTAAAATATTCAACATGGACCTGTACACTTTTTACTAGCCTCAGACTCTATTCGGGAAAAGCATTTTTGAACTGTTTTTTGGATACACCGTTTATACACTGGTGGAGAGTGCTTTTGACTGCACTACGGGTTTAGAACTGGCAACCAGGAAGGCAAGATTTTATGTATGAGTTTAACCAAATTTTAGAAGAGAGAGACCAAACTCTAGACGGGCTGCAGCAAGTCCTCAATCTCATGGTTAAATTGCGTTGGTGCCACAAATTAAAATATGCCCATTTGGATACAGATCTAAAAACATAGTTTTATCTTTTCAGATAGCTAACAGGCTGGGTGATCATGTAAAATTTGTATACAGCTGAATGAGTCACTTTGGTATATGTGTTTATAAAATTGTTATTGTTTGTTTGATTGGGTTTAACGTCACACCGACACAGTATAGATCATTTGGCGACGTTCCAGCTTTACTGGTGGAGGAAGACGTCAGGTGCACTTCCGAGCATTATTTCAGGCACGAACGGGCACCTGAGTAGAACCTCTGACAATCCGTAAGGTAGCTGGATAGCTTCTTCACATGAAAGAATCCAAAGTCCCTGTCAGGATTCCAACCCACAGCGGTGAGGGGCAAGTGGTTTGAAGTCAACTACCTTAACCACTCGGCCACGGACGCCCATGAATTTGTTATACTTTTCAATAATTTCAATTATTTGAATAATAAACCTATACCATGTTCCAGGCAAATATTTGCCAATTGCAATGAGATATACCTTTCCATTGTACCTGTAAACACTTTTCCCCTGTTATGCTTGCAGATATGTTTCTATGTGGCAATATTTTGATGAAATTTCAAGGAAATAAGAAGGGCATATGAAGCCATACCATTTCTAAGAATGTTGAGGGATAAAAAAAAAACAAAAAGTTTTCATAAAGTGAAACCAGAATGTTTCAAGGAAGGACGTAGGACAAACGGAAGCAAAATGTTTCCTGAGGAGAAGGAGTGGGTATTACATCAGCATAAAACAATATCTTATTTAAGCGACTTACTATCCCACAAAATCACGACTTGCTTTTTGATTAACAGTATCTGACTTAAATGTTTTAATAAGTAAACAGGAAGTAAACAACTTGACTGAAAATTATCACTCCTTCAGGGTTAATAACGCTAATGTACCTGTAAACATTCTCTAACAGCTTGGCATGCCTCTTTCTTATTGGTTGCAATGACAACGCCCTTCCCACCAGCCAACCCGGATGCTTTCACAACCAAAGCCGGAAAGTCTGCGCTGTAATATCAAATATATTGTACCATAATTATATACAAACATAACTAAAGTAACTAATATGAGAGGAACACAACAAGTTTAAACAATTTAACTATTTCATGAAAAGCCTACTAGTGTCAGGTATGCAAACATCTTACCAAGTCTTTTTATAAGTTACACATTATTGGATTGACAAGCAATTAAAGACACACATCTATAATAAGTCTTTGCCATATAATTTCAATTGCTTCAATAAGAAAAGTTCTGCCATTCTATTTCTCACAAACTCACTTCAATATATTCTACCTAACAATTTATTTAAATGTTGCATCAAGTTGGATAAACAGGCGCATGCTGACCAACAACAGGTCAAAGATATAGACCAAGATCTGCCAACATATCTGTGCTGTTTTTTACATGTTCTGCACTTTACACTATTCAGCCAGTACATATTTAGAATTTTTCTCTTGAATGATGAATAGTTTCATCCAAACTGAGAGGGACAAATCCATTAAAGATAGTTATAGTGGTAAGCGTTAAGACATCTTTCAAACATAATGACCCCAATAATACCTCTCTATATAGTTTATAGCATCTTCTGTATTTGTGAAACAGGCAAATCTAGCTGTAGGAATATTGTGCCTTTTCATGAAATTCTTTGAAAACTCTTTACTGGACTCTATCTGAGATGCTTTTTGGTTTGGTCCAAAACACATTATACCTTGAGAATAGAATGATACAGAATACATTTTGTTTAAAGGTATCAAATAATATTAAAATATTGAAGTCCTTCCAGTAGAGCCGTCATTGATAGAGACAATATCAATGTATCGTTGATATTTTTCTGTCAATCAATAATCGATATGCATTTAAAAATCAGAAATTTTGATTAATTATTTAAATGTCTATAAATTCTAAAAATTCACCCAAAACATATACAAAAGCAGGTGGCCATGTCAAGCACTTAGCTGTTGGTAAAAAAATTGACACATTTCATTGCAGTGGTGACAAAAAATGCTCAGAAAAAAAACATGCAAAGGACATTTATAAACGGGACACAACATTTTTCATGTATGTACAAAACAATTGTATTTTGCTAAAAACTTTTAACAGGTATGAAAGCGAATCTTATACAAGAAATTAGGGGTATTTATCAATATACCAGTGTATCGCCGATATTGGTCGTCCGATATTGATGCATCGACAATTTGCTTTGCACTGAATCAATGTCAGCTCTACCTTATAGAGTAATAAACAAGTACATGTTGCTAACTTAGTAGTGATATAACAGTAAAGGCATTAAACAACATACTTCATAAAAGAAATTTGTACATAGCTAAATAGAATGACCAATTGACACATGTTTATATACAACCACATGGGAAGAAAATTTGAGATCATCATCGCCCTGTTCACTTACAAACCCTATTACAAGTAGAGAAACTGATAGCGTACAGGATGGATCCTGAAATCCTAAAATATATATTCAACAGTATTAACATTATATATGATTTATATAAAAACTATAAAATCTGACAAATGCATCTTCAATAAACATTCTATATGACTGTATAATATACTGTACCTTCATCAGTAAGATGATCAGAGATCCCGGCAGCTAGCGGGTCCTCCGGGCCAACAACTACCATAGATACTTCATTGTCTTTACACCACTTACTTACTTCATCAAAGTCCTTCACATTTACCTCTACCAGAAAAATAATAATTTGTTTCATTATACATAAACATTATAAAGAAGATAATTAAAGATATTAATGGCAGGCTTTTTTCCAGGACTTTGGGGACATGACCAAAACCCAAGGAATTTGTTTTGTTAAAAATTGGGGAGGGGGGGGGGGGGGGATTACACGACTGAAATTTTGCAATGATTAAATGAATGCTAAGAATCACTGTTTAGGATGGCATCTTCAAACATTTCAGCACTTTAACAGTGAAGAGGCCCTAATTTAAAAAAAATATAGAATTTGTTCTTCAATATTTTTAATTTTTTAACTTTCAATTAGTAAATTTTTCCTGTGGATTGGGAAAATAATAATACTAATATACTATTTTCAATGGGAATATATGACTGAATAATTTCATATTTTGTGCTACTTTTCTTAGGATACCAAGCATCTAAAATGCAATAAAACCATTATTAAAGCATTACAAAATTCATGTTTCAACGTTCTTTAGAAAAATTTATTCGTTTGTGAAACATAATATGCCTTTAAGATACATAATTTTCTGTTTTAAATTCATTACATCTACAAGGCAATACATGAGTAACCAGAAAATTCACAAACTGTTGACAACAATAATTAACAACTGTCCATCCTAGCTGTGATTCTGTATAAAGTGTTAATTATACTGTTAATTTATCAGCAAAGTGGGGGTCTACGTGTGTGTTCAATAAAACAGGACATTTACAGAGGTCACACAGTGTGCTCAACTTATTAAATACTGGACGCAGTAAAGGAAGACAAAACCAAGTAAAAAGTAGGACAGCTCTCCATAATTATATAACTTTGTATAGTCAAGGTAATTATAGCTCTGAAATTATTATGGAAACAAAACTATCACTGGTTATTATATTTTAACATATTTTCTTAATTGTAACAAATTAATAAATATATTGCATAATTGCAAACAAATACAAAGTGATTTAATACTCACCAACATTATCAATTTTTCCACATTTTGCGGTTCCAGCGTTTCCCGGGGCAACATAAACTGCCTTGACCTCTGATGACTGTGCAAGTTTCCATGATAACGCGTGTTCACGGCCACCTCCACCCACCACAAGAACTTTTAAGGACATCTTATGAAAAAAAAAAAAAACACAACAAATTTAATTGTAACAAGTGCTGTTTAGTTTTCGAGTATATGCAAGATAGTTTGATACTGTCACATAAAAGATCCTGTAACACAATTTTTTATAGTTTCATAATTTTATCATAAATTTAATGCTCAAATGAAGATTTATCAATATTGTAAGTTCCAAAAATAATTACATTTTGTATTTGTAAAGTTATTACCATATTTACATTTCATGTTAATAAAGGGAGGTAATAAGAAATTTATGCATATATTTTAATGATTACATATAATGTGGACAAAATTAATATGTGCAGTACATAGTATATTGTTTGATGTTTGAAAATTGTTTTAGAAGCATAATTAAATAGATACATAAAATTTCACTTAAGTGTGGTAACAACCTGTCACAGGTTACTGTACATTTAGGTTCTCATTGACCGCCGTACAGTGACCTACTTTTGGCTCAAAATTCATATCTTTGGCTAATACTCCGTGGAAATTGCATGGAGGTAAATTATCACCATAATTGTGCTTCAAAATTAACTCTTTAAGGGCATGACTGGTGACATGTCCAGGGTCCATACTCGACAGCGCAAGCTGCATTTTGTGCCCCCGCGGGCGGATGGACCCTCATTAAGCTTAAACTACTGACTGACTGGTAACAACCTTAATTACAACACATAGGATCTTTAAGTACAGAACCAATATATAATATTACTTAAACATTACTAGCTTATTATATTCGTAAAGAAAAACCTCCCTTTATATCTGCACACAAATTTGAAGTACACTACAACACTCTTCATTAATTCAATGAGGAAAAAATGTGTAAGTGCCCGAGCAGCACAAGCAGTAGAGTTTGAGAGCTTTGTCCTGCTACTGTCTATATAATCAAATAAATAAAGCCTGGCCGGATAAATTTATCTATCCTCAGTTGATCCAGTAGAACAGATCCTCAGGCCTAAACATTCCATTTTCTTTAGTTTAGTTTATTTAAAATATGATAAACAAGATCATCAAGAAAGGCAGCGTTCAATGAACGCAGCCCCCATATGACCGAGCAACAGACTTTTCTCCTGAAAATTATACATCAGGGTCTAATTGGTAGATTGCAATTTCCTAGAATTATAAGACCCCTATGTACATGTATATCACTGTTTATATTTTATACAGTAATTTTTTATACAGAGCTCCAGATAATTTATTTGGCCAAGGGGATTTTGCCTCTCAAAATCAAGAATGAGGGATAAAATAATGTAATGGGTAAAATCAGAGACACAGATGTTACCTGTGATTAAATTAATATAAAGCAGTTTTCGTTCGCATTGTCTTCATATAATAACAGGGGCATATGTAACCTCAGCTTAATTTGAGCATACGTCAAGTTCAAGTCTTTGGCCGCCAGAGACTTGTATCAAATATAGATGTGTGCTATAACCAGGGATTTCAGAAATATCTAAACGATGAAATGTCATTTAATTGTACTACTATTGTCTTTATCTATAGTTATGAAAATAACAACAAGTACATAGTATTGGATGTAAGAGAAATTGCATGTGTACACTGTTTTAAAAAGTTCAAAAGTTTTTACTATTAGAAAAACAAAACAAAGCCAGGTGTCTCTATAATAATCAAGATGGACTTTACTTCCTTTTATAAATATGTTTTTTACTTTGTTACTTTTCCTTCTTTTTATCTAACCTAAACATGAGGTATGATCAAGGAAAATATGCTTAAATATCATGTGATCTGTATGGCTTTACATTGTTCCCTCTGTATATTTATCTATGTTTTATAAATATGTATAGATGAGACTTCTTATGATAAACAATAGGTGTCATTGTTTGCAGAAGTATGCAATTTATTTCTATACTCAATAAAATAAGGCAGAAGAAATAACTTTCTATAGCGATATATCTTGTAAATATTCTTTTTTACGGTCAAATGAACAAAAGTTGTGTATAGTTTGTGACGATAGATGTGTGCATATCTATGATTCGCTCATAGGGCCCAAATTATTCTACGCAATTTGAAATGAATATAAGACTAATGAATGCTAGAACATAGAAATAATATACTGACTTAATACTACAAGCTAAAATATAAAAATGAATTTCATAATGTGAGATGGTCAACTCGCTTTCATTGTGCAACAAAATCCAAGTTGCACACAAGACTTTACTTAATTTTGCATATAAATGTAAAAAAGATGAAAAAAATGTTCAGTTTTCACTGATTTTGATTCTGCTGGAAAGATGAGTGTAATAATTTGGACATATTTCTATTATTTGGGTTTTGACGTGGTTAATTAGCATTATAACACTGATTATTCAAAGCATAACTCCATCTGAAATTAAAGAGAGAAATTTCCAATCATATCTTTACATTGTATACTTCCCTGGACCGAGGCTCTGTAGAAAAGCTGAACATTTTGTTTTTAAATTTTAAAAGTCTCATCTTTGATAGAATCGCATAGAAATCTTAAGATAATTCAAACCATACCACTTTAAAAGCTTTGAATATTCGGATTCAGACTGAAACAATAGAATAATCGTCTCTAAAATGGCTTTCGTTTGAGATTACCAAGTAAGAAAGTATTATAATTAATTTGCTCATAATTATCTGCTTACTTCCTCTTTGATTGTATTTGTATACACATTATCAAAATAGGTAATACATATTCGAATTAAGTAACATCCTAATTTCATTTCAACACACAATGACGTTGTTGACAGCAGTTTTTTTTTTAAGTTTTCCATTCAATAAAGGTTAAATATATTGTATTTTTAACAGATCAATTTGAAAACATCTCCTTTTGAAATATCAAACAATAACACTACTATTCTTCATTCACAGTATTTAAACATACAGCATACGAAACTGTGAGCTATTCTGAAACTGGTTACCTTTTGATTTCTTTTATATTTAGCTTACACACGCTATCTGAGCTGGACTCAGTCATCTTAATATAACTTAATAGCTGCTCAACGAGTTTCTATCTTAGACTGTATATTGAGATGAGTGAGACTTGATGGATCCGATGTGGTTCCATGATAAACTTATTTAGCTGATGAATTTAGTTATACGTGACTAAAAATTCACAATCGAAAGCGTTTTGTCGAGATATTATATACGGATGTTACAACAGCCACAGGAATTCGTGAAATGAAACTGAATTGCGTCCATAGACTGGTGTCCCTGACCTTTTGAAAGGAAATTATAGGACAGGACCAGAAATAAGACGAAAGCAGCGTATAAATTACCGTAATGACAGTTTTAAAACGAAAAATGTTAAATAAACGATTTTTAGCTATTCACGGCTTGCTTTATGAGCTTTTCCGTTCACTATTTTTTACAAAAAACAGAATGATGCTTCTGGTTTAGCGCTGGGTGTGGGTCCTTCATGGGGTTTATTCAGATCATAATCCCAATATAGGATTGGTGGATACAAATGTATGGTATGTACAGTATTATGCTGTATTAAACGTTTCCACGCGGAAGTGATCTGGCTGCAGTGACAAAAATAGAATTATTTCAACAACCAATATTTCTAATTTTTACTTAAGCTTTTAAACATCATAACGAAGGTCAATTAAAAACAAATTTCCTTAAATTCGCCGAAGGATCTTAAAATATGTCTACTTTTAACATACCTGCCTTGTTTTTACATGACAATTTCACGTGCAGCAAACACGTTATTTACACTACGGAGTTTGTTCTTGTAAATCTCACAAACGTGTATTAATTCACAATTTTCATTACTTTTGGCTTAATCAACGTCTAATTCTGTCTGACGTCATCTTAAACACAAGAAGAGTCAAATGGCTAATGTTTTTCTCTTGAGCGAGTGTTTTGCAATTGAAAGAACATGCCGAAAAAAAAAGGAAAAGTGGGAAAAAAAGCGCAAGAAAGGAAACAAGAAATCGGGGGGAAGAAGGTATCTGCAGAGAGATTCTACACCCAGTCCAGTGGAATCCATGGGCTCCGTATTGTTCCTCCATCCCAAACCGGTGAGAACAAGGCGTTGTAAATTGATTGTATTGTTCCTGCTCATTCAATTATTTCATTATTTCCTTTGAGCTGTCGTCTTAAATTGGCTCAATATATTGTTGTAGCCCCCCCCCCCATCCCTATAATATTAGCAGATTCATATTCTAAGGGTCACTCAATCAAGTCTTTCTTTTGGGCCGTGTCTAAAACGCGGACGCCTTAACGGAACAATAATAAACATATAGGGAAAACGCTGACAAATATAGACAAAGAGAAAAAAGCGGACGATATAGATATATAGTGTAGACTAATGGGTGATGATTTTGGGCATTGATGTAAGTTTATAAAAATGACGTGTAATTGGATTTATACTTTAATATATAAAAAATATAATAAATTAGCAAATTGGGAGAATATTAAAGTAATTTATGAATTGAATGTCAATGAATTTTATTTATATTTATATGACACATTTTCGGAATTTTCTTAATATTGAAAAACTAATATATGAAACAAATGGATCAAATGAATGTCCTTAGAATTACAATGAAGGTACTAAATTGGCAACAGCTGATATGTATTAAGGATATGTATTTCATTTTGGCATTTTTTGTATGCCTTTATGTGCAGTAGGTGGAACAAAATTTTTGTTCGCAGAATAAAAAAAGCCTTGATTTTTTCAAAATCAAAGTTTGTAAGAGTAATTTTTAATCATAAATTATTGATATAAATAAGTAATGAACGGGCTGTTGTGTTTTTATTGATACAATATGAGCAGAAGCGTGCTGCAAATTAACGGTAATTATATAAGTGTGAACAACACGCTACTGATTAATCGTGTCGGCACTTAGCTAGAGATAACATGATACGCATTTTGCGGACAATATAGATATATAGGGAAAACGCTGACGATATAAGAATATAGAGAAAAAAGCGGACGATAATAGAAAATTTAGAGTAGACGTATACTCTTGTGACGGACACGTGTTGCAAATTAATTAACGACAATTAAGTGTCAAC